ATTTGATTTTAATTTGATTTTAATTTGGTTTTTAACATAATTTTAAAAAGAAACGGCAAAAAATCAATATTTCATTTTAATTGTATTTTAAACTTAGTATTTTGTATGGTTTGTCTGTTTTTTAACTTGCTGTAAGCCGCCCTGAGTCCGCTAGGAGAAGGGCGGGGTATAAATTGAATAAAACCTAAAACCTAAACCATATAAACAGGAGCAATGTCCTGATTTTATGCATTCTTTTGAGAGTACAACAGGTACTTAGTTTATTATTTTATTTATTTATTTTATTATTTTATTTATTAAATGTATTGGCTGTCCATCTTACCACAAAGGCAGCTTACAATATTAAAAAAAATAAAACTATAAATACAATACTACACAAATATAAATATAAAAGTATAAAATAGCTATAGCTAGATAGCAATGACTAAAAATGGGAAGGAAGAAAATAGGATGAGGGGAGGGGGGGAGAGATGAGATCTGATATTAATCTATCAATCACCCCCAACATGAAGCCCCTCTTTTGGAATCCCAAGCCAACTGGCAGGGCCAAGTCTTTAAGCTCTTGTGGAAGGTCAGGAGGATTGGAACCAACCTTATTCTGGGCGCAAAATATTCCAAAGGGCAAGAGCAACAGCAAAAAAGGCTTTTGTCCTGAACCCCACCCACTGGAATACCTCCTCTGCTGGCACAAGTGAGGTGGGCCAATCACAATGGGATGAGACAGTCTCACAAGTAGTCTGGATCCATGCCATGAAGGATTTTAAAGCACCTTGAGCTGCACCTGAAAACAAACAGACCACCAGTGCAGCTCGCGGAGCAGTGATATTACATGGGCCACTCTTGGGCCCCAAAAAACTGGCTGTGCCATCACACTCTGCACCAGCTGTACTTCCAAATGCTCTTCGAGGGTAGCCCCATGTAGAGCAATAGTCCAAACGTGAAATGACTAAGATGAAAATTGTCCAGGCAGATGGGATCCAGCGGTGTTTTTTTTAAAGGAGGAGACAAACCAGTGGTGGGATTCTGCTGGTTCGCACTGGTTTGGGAGAACCAGTAGCTAAATTTACCTGAATTTGGAGAACCGGCTGGCTTCTGGAAAAAGTGTGTTGATGCCACTTCTAGGCATCAGAGGCCCAAGCCTGGATCACATAATAGAACTGGTTGATCAGGTATTTGAATCCCACCACTGAGACAAACCAGAGTCTCCTTAAAATGCCCCAGAAATATCCCCTCCTGGGGTGACGAATTAATCACTGCCTGAACCTACCCGCTAGTCACCATATGGAGGCTTTCACCATCCAGGAGGGACAAGGATCTAACTGTCAGGTGGTGGTGCTGACAGCATTGACTTCATCAGGTCCAGCAGGGTCAAATATTTTCCAGATTGATTTAGAAATCAATATATAAAAAACAAGATATTTTAAATGTTATTCCTAATGTTCACTTCCATATATGCTTTTACTTATTTGTTTTCTGTTTGCATTTTATTATTAACTAATGGAAGAGCTTGGAAAGTACATTTTTGAAAAAGAAATAAATGCCAGAAGTAACTAAATGGATTAAGGTGTTTAGTCCTAAATGTAAAAAAACAAAGACAAAACAGCATGCTCCTTTTTGTCCTTTTTTGGGGCTGCAAAGAAGTGAAGAATTCAACTTCAATGCTTTTAAGAAGTATATTCTGACACTGATACAGTATTGCTCCATATTTCTCTCTACTTACTTGATAGAAGCTAGAGATGGAACTGTGCTTAACATCCCATTCTCTGCCATTTCAATGGCATGTTTTATTTCCAATTTCTTGTACAGAGCAACAATTCTTGATTTTGGTTCTTTTTCCTTAATTAAAAGTCTTCTTAGGTACTTCTTATCAAATTTTATAAATCTGTAAGAAACAAGAGCCATTCTATTAATTAACCTGAATTAAAATGAATTGAAAGTGTAGCAAATTTTGTTCTTATAAAATAAATTATTCTGACTGTAGACATTTAGAGAATTAGTTTCTAACTGAAATGAAGTTTTGAATTTGTGACAGAAATTAATGAAAATTAAATATTCATGTTTTCTGAAACAAAATAATTCTTAAATTTAATCAAAGTATGTATTTGTAAATTTCATAATATTAAAAATGTAAATATAATTTAAATAATACATTGGTTTTTTCCACTTGTTCTTTTAGATCATTACTAAATATGTTACTTACTTATCTCTCCAAAAGTTGTGACCCCAGTGTCCACACACATCTTCAATACCAGCCTTGATATGATCGAAGAACTAGGATGTAAAAAAAAGTCATTACATTATTGAACAAATGTATATATTACTTGTTTCTGTAAGAAAAAGTTATCTTGATTTTATACCCAATAAAATATCAATACCAAAATAACTATGAAATGAATTTTATAAGATAAATTGTTATCCAATACAATTGTTTTTAAAATCAACAATAAATTTATGTGAGAAATACATTACTAAGAGTCAAGACAAACTTGATGGAACATTATGAATCAAAACATGTTATAAATGTTACATTATCACCACTTGAAAAGGAAAGTCTCTCCAATTGAACACACTGCTTGTTATTTAGATCTATGTATCTTTTTCTCAGTGCATGATATCCTTAATCTCAGTTTTTCACAGGGCCAAAAGAAGTACCTGAAAGTTCCATTTATTAAATAGTTAAGTCCCAATTTAAAAATGTAAAATATTACAACATGCACACTTTGGGAAGCATGGTTCTGGGCGTTTCCCAAATGGCATGTAATACACCTCAAATTACGAACATACCCGGCAGTAGATTTCTTCACTAACTGCTGGTTGCTTCTTATTTGCTCTTTTAACATCAAGAAACTCCACCAGTGGGCGAATTGTCATTCCCTGTACAGAAGAGCAGACACAAGCATGACATTCACTTCAGCCCAACATGATTTGCCATGATGTCATTTTCATATTCTATTCAATCTGTATTTTAATAAATGAATGGCCAGTATATAGCATTATACTACAAATATTTAAAAAGAAAATACATTTGTGTTGGGAAAGAAGATGCAGTTTGAGGAAAGATTTCACATTATACTGATTGATTACTTTTGATGAAGAGAATTAGATAAAGTTTACAAGGGGGCTCAAATATAAGGAAAGGTACCAGAAAATACTTCAATATGTCAAGACAGGACTTGATTACTTCACCAACTAGTAAAATTATTTGACATCCAAAAGGGATAGAGTTTTGTAATGTTGCACAAATCAATATGAGAATATATTGAATGGAAGATGAAAAGCAAGGCAGGTATCAGAAATAAAGCTGAAGATGCAGGCCTAGTTCATAGGATAGATGGTATTATTGTCAATGAATATGACAAGAGATCTAGAAGAAGGCTTTGACACAAATCTGAGATGTTCAGTCACAGACATATGCAATTTCTAGCAACACAATCTTATTTTCTTTTTGTGTGACACTTTTAAATTAGACAAATTGCAGGTTTTCTATGAAAAGAACTATTGATTATATTGTATATATAACTATTGGAAATATTCTTACCTGAATGAACACGGTAAAGAATATCAGTACGATAGCAGCAGTAATGAAAAGCTTCTTTCTAGGGAATACAGCAGAAGGGAGAAGGAAGACCAGAGAAAAACATATAGCTCCTCGGAGGCCTCCATAGGCGATAATGAACTGGTCTTTAAACGTTATAGGAATTGTCCGAAATACATTTATTACCTGAGTCAATGCAAACACTCCTAAAAAAAGCCAAACACATACAAAACAAATTGATCATGGTATCCTTTTAACCAGCTCCAAAATTTAAGAACAGAAGATACAGTGTTACATCAGTTCTCTTTCTATTTCCATGGCTGTTTCCAGTTGGTGTTGGTAGGGGAGATAGATTTAATTCAATTACAGGCTGTCCAGGATCTACCCTCTCTCTGGTCTTACTTAACATCTACAGTACATGAAACTGTTGAGTAAGGTCATAAATCAGAATGGTGTAAGGTATCAAAATGCTGATGTATAATATATATCTCCATCTTAGGCTGATCAAGTTATACTGTCAAGATTCTTTCTCGGTACCTGAAGGTTGTGTACCCTGGAAGGGGAAATACAGTTTATCTTAACACTAACAAGTCTGACTAGTTGTAAATTTTGGAGATCCCTTTGGTAAGGAATAACTCTCCCAACCAGAACCGGGGTGAAATAATGGGGTCCTCTTGGGCTCTGCTTTTGCTAGAATTCCAACTATTATTCAAGTTATGAGGTCAGAGATCAGATTTGAAAAATAGCTGTTGATTAATATTCTCCATAGGAAGGACATGCAGCAAAAACTTTGCACAAACCCATCTTGTGTGACAGTTTGCGTAATAAGGAAGATGTCTTTGACAGAGTAATGCAGGTCCATTATTAAAGCAACAAGGAGTAAAACATGTCTTAAATCGACAAAGACAGATAGTGTTTGTAAGTGGGTCAGACAGACATTTTCCTAATTCACTAAGATATAAGAGGGAGGAAAAGAACAGCACATTCCATCAAGATTCTTTTATTATAACTGCATCCAGGCTGATAACAACTGCACCCATTCCTGGGTGTGACTCACAATCACTCATGCCCTAGTCATCTGCTGTCTAGATTGCTACAATATGTTACATATAGAGTTGCCTTTGATAACCACTCAAAGGCCCCAATTGGTTCAGAATACAGTGGTGTAAACAGTTATAAATGCACTTCATTGTGCCTAGGTAGCACATTGCCTCACAAACTGAACTGGCTTCGTATAAACTTTCAGACGTTATTCAAGATACTGATTATCTCCTATAAAATCCTTTATGGCAAAGATCCAAGTTACCTGTAGAACTGCCTGTCCCTAATTGTCTCTACTCATCCCATGACATCTGGCAGAGAAGGCATGTTAGGGTTCTTTCCCCATAACAATGTCAGTTATAGGCATTGTTAGGGGCATGGTTTCTCTGTTGCAGTGCCTAACCCTAACATCATTCATCTGAGGTTTGGACATCCTGGTTTTGATCTGATGACCTGGCTCTACCCCAAGCATTCAGGCTTTAACTTTAAAAAAGGATATTTCTTTGTCAAAGATACAGTTCCATTATCTAAAAGAAAATCATATTTCAGTAGTAAAGTAGGTTGAAGTGCAATCTAGAAAGCTTTAAGCAGCTCTTACCTAATGAACGCCAAATCAAACAAAATAGCAGAGTGAAGCAAACAAAGGCCCAGTTCCATTCATGGTTTTTTCCTACTGTAGATACTCCCATGAAAATAAAGATAAGAGTTTCACTGACACTGCTCAGCATTTTCATGAAATATTTTATAGTAGTATAGGACTTCTGAGAAACATTCTCCTCCACGTATTTATTCATGGTCATAGCACATGCTGTAATCCTGCAGGAAAAAACTAGTTCAGTTTCTCTGAATTTTTATTACAAATACTGTATTTTTACTGCAAACACTTGAGTAATGTGCACCTGATGTTTCTCCAATAAAATGTCCAGAGTCACCGTATTAGTGAGATAGGAGGCAAGAAATCCAATAAAAAAATAAATATGACTCAGAATCATTATAGGAGTTAATGTCACTGAGTTCAGTAAAATTGAGTTTCTTCTTTTTACATTGCTGAACACATTTCTTGATACCGTATAATAAGATCTTGGGAACAGACTTTTATGCAATCAACATAATGCATAGTGTGGACCCCTTTGCAGTCAACACTTCTAACAAAGACTTGCTATTTGATTGTAGAAAATGGAAAGTTATCATTCTCTTTGGCTTTTGCTGCTCTGAAAGGACATTCTATCTCTCTTGGCCATATAGGCCAGGTGGCTACTATAATTATTTGTCCTCCCTTTGGTTATTCAGCACTGTGATATTCAATGTGGTTATGATTTCACTTTAAAAATATACCATTTCATGATGTCAGAAAGACTGCAAATAGATATCATGTGTGGGTGGTATTGCAGTGTTTCCTGTTTTAATCTTGAACTTTAAGATGTATTCCATGATGTTGTTGCTATCAAATATCTTCCTGGAATAAATGTTTCAGAGATTATACAAACTGGATTTGCTACTGCTACTGATGAGTTTAATTATTGTTATATATTTTGGTATGTGTTATATTTTTATATAATGTAAAGTAAGCTGAACTAAGCTGAAGTCACCTTTGAGTCACCTTACCATCTGGTGATGGTCAATGCTATAGAAGTAATCTATTATTCTTAGATGCAAACATGAGTTGCAGTTTTAGGTACTTGTTTAAAGCAGCTTAGATAGGAATCTTTACTAAATCCCCAGGATAATACAGGGCATATCTGACCAAGCAGAAAAGCCACAGGAAATTTTCTACAATAGTTCCCATGCCATTCTATGGTTTCTAATAGCCAGAACATGTTGTGACACAAAAGAAGAAGTAAGAAAGTTCTCCTGTGCTATGGGGCTGCAATTCAGGTCTTCATTTTACACTTCCCACCTCATCTCTGAAGTGGCCTAGAACTGCAGAGTGACCATTTATCAGATCCACTCATAATGACTGCATCACCAACAAAATGTGAAGACCCATACTAGACAGTTCTAGGAACTTTCATTCAATTTCAGAACTGCATACTCAAAGTTAGTTATAGTGTTCCTTTTACTTTTACTTCAGTTGTAAGATTATATGGATAATTTTTTATGACTGGGGTTGTCTGAGTTTGGTTAGTAATAACAGCAGAAATGTGGAATTCATCTATAAAAGCAGGGATAAAGTGCAAATTATTCTGTTTTGATTGACTGTATTTATAAATTTAAGTCCTGGTGATCTGAATGATTACTATTCTCACATACAAGATATTACATGTGGTTTGATTTGTATTTTGTTTGTATGTCTTGTCAAAGAAAGACTAATGCAGAAATCCTTCAGTATATTGATTTCAGTTTATTTAAATATTCCTAGGTAATCACTTCCATTTATCTAAAACCATTTAGATAGACTGGGCACACCTACCAGTAATGCAAATCAGCCTGTACAAACATGGCAGTTTCTGTCCAGTGAATGGAAAAATCTAGATCATAAGTTATACTCTTTTAGCTTTTTCGCAATTCATTCTTTAGTTTCCTGGCTCCCCTTCTATATTTTGTTATATACAGTACAGGAGTTATGCAAATCTATTGAAAATACTTTATGAAAAAAGAAACTTAACATCCAATATTCTATTGCATTCTTTTTTATTACGAATGTATATATAAATCTATAGTATATTAGATTAGAAAATAATTTAGTAGCTCAATCCATTAAATGCTTAGTGTCAGGCCCCAAAGTAATGTATCCTTAGTTATTTTAGCTTTGTATCTTTCTTTCTTGTCTGCCATTCTGTTGGGAGGGGGGAGCCTTTGGGGATGCTTTGCACTGTCTGCTTTGTTGCCTTGTTGCCCTTCCCCCCACCCCCAAGGGATGGAATGTCTCACCCTTATCTGAGAGAAGGTTTGTGCTTGGAGCCAGAAGAAATTGAAAGTGAGAGAAACCTTGAAGAAACACGATGCCACCTGTGGATTGGATGGGATTCAAATGAACACTGGGGCACTGGGGGAGGGGAGGAATATTGAATGCTACTTTTAATATATCTCTTCATGGGTTTTTCTGTCAGATCTCGCCTTGATTCCCTGCTGTCACTAGCCCCTAATAAAAATTTCCTTTTGAGACAATTCTTGTTTCAAGAGCTCTGCTTTCTTGGGTGCTTAGCTGGGGTAGATCCTTACACTTAGCCATAATATACATTTATTCTGGCTTAGCTAGAAGTGGAAATTCAGCTATAGTGGCTTAGCACTATGTGTGATTGAGCCATTGCAGCTTATTTAAGAAATCATAGTTAAAATAATCTAGCCTAATTTAATAACAATTGATCGATACCTATTTTCTACATATTATATTAAAAGACATTCTATTGTCAGCAAAAACTGCACTAAAAAAGCAATAGGATTTTATAAGAGGCATTCATGAATGTTCCATAATAATAGTACCTATGATAGTCTTCACAACACAGTAAATAATCTTGAGGCATTTTAAAAATTAATTGATGAATCATATTTATGAATGCTGAAATTAATAGAATTAGAGGAAAATTGAAAACCACAGAAATGCTGTTAATGAGAATAAGGTATAGATGGTGTTCTTAAAAGTTAGGTAAACTAATATAGTATTTTATATTTAACGAAATGCTCAATGAAATAAATTTCCACTTTTACAGTTTAAGCAATGAAATCTATTTTTCAAATTTAAGCCTTATTAAGTTCATTCACATTTTTCTACATTAATATATTGGAAATAATTAATTAGCTATGTGAAAACATTGTTTTTAGTTATGCATTATATCACTAAAATATTCAAAGTAGATTTTTAAAAATTGGAATGTGGCATAAAAGGCAATACAACATATTTCACATTATACGAAAGGGAAACATTCATTTTGCTAAATATATGAATATATCAATCCCTGTGATGAAATAAAATAATTATAATATGTTGTTTTTTATTTGCTATTTATTCAACACTTTATCATGTTTGAGATATATAGATTTTCAACAAATTTCTTAAAATAATTTAAAGATGAGAAAGGAATTGATGACTGAAACTTACTAGTTTGACTATCTTATGAAATGTGCAGTAGAAAGAAGCTTTAAAATAGAAAACACTTTTGCATATCTTAAACTTTTACCCATTTTGTCATACCAGTATCATAATTATTTATAGCATTGTTCCTGAATATACTGTAGACAATGGAATTGAAAAATTTTCTTAAATCGTTTACTCTTTTAAAATTAGACTGCAAATTCTCAAAGGTAAAAAACAGATATATAATTTACTTGTAACAAGCCTATAACCTGAAAAACAAACAAATTCAGTTTACTTAATATCCTCTGCTACGTTGTTGTCTATCAACATAGAAGATCCTTCAATAATTGAGAAAAAAATGTTTAGACATATCAATATTGACACCAAATATTTTCATGTGTGTAAGACAGAAAGAGATATGAAATGATTCCAATATTGCACTAATAAAGATTAATAATCAGAACTAGTAGCTTCAGGAAAACAATTACAGTAATATAATTTCACAGCCTAAACTGGCTGAGTATATTAGACTGCTAGTTAAAACGGCTTGTCACAAAACCAAACAAATCATAACTAATTTGAAAAAAACTGAGCACTAAACATTTGCATGTTTACCATAATGGACACCGGACTTGTTAAATATTATTGCTTCTGAATTTGGAAACTAGATCCTTTTTTAAAAAAAAAATGAAGAACATAAATTACTATTAATAATGCATGCAAGATATTCTTAGCCAAAGTTTGTTGTTTGCTTGTGTTTTTATATACTTACGCCATAATCCCTGAAAGGTGAAACATTTCAGCTGTTATGTACGATAGGTAACTGTATAAGAAGACAAACAGTGGCTCAATCACTCGAATTTTATGGGTGAAACGAGTAGTAAAAGCTGCTACAAATCCAAGAATGATTCCAATCAAAACTCCACCGATGCCAACTACAAAAAAATTAGCAATTCCAGCAAATATGTCAATGGCCTCAATTGTACGCATCTGGCAAAAAGATTTGAACAAGTTGTACAGGACCTATGAAGGGAAAAGTTTAGCTTTTTAGATTCCTTTCCAAATAATGTTAGTTATTTTAACTGGAAATGCAAATTACATTCTGTTGCTACTAAATAATCTCAGAAAGTAGAACAAATAAAAAAAATAGGAATACATGATAAAAGAGCCAATTTTCTTAAAAAAATACATCTTTTTTAATTTTTCCCCTTAGGGAAAAAATATCTGTTCAGTTATTTAGTCCTGTATGTCACAATGAGGAGCCTCAGTCCTTAATCTAATGTGAATTTCAAAAAATCTTTATAATCTAGTCAACCTTCTGAAGAAAAAATAGCAGTCTCTTACCTGTCAGCCTTGCATGTGAATTTTTTTGGGGGGATGGGGAAGAGATAAGAAAAAGAAGAAAAGTATGTCAGGGGGGGAAATGAAGTGTCAGAAAGAAAGACAGCAGGTGATTTCATCCATTGGTATTTGTAAGACTGAAGTACTTTGGATCAGTACCTAAAAGGTGATTCAGCAGCTACCACAGAAAAGGATCAGCTGTATTAGCAGAAGTGCTACATTCATGCCTCCATGTGTTCCTTTTTTTAAACAAAACCCAAAACTCTGCATGTTTAGTATTCATAATGCACAAAGAGCAAAGACAAACATTTGTCTGTATCTACTGTACAGACTAAATACATTTAAAAACATTCATTTAAACTAGGCAAGCAGGAGCTAAAGTTACATTCATAGCAGCCAGATGACAGGGATATATTGTTTTTATCTACAATGTATTACGTAATCACCCTGGACTAGCAAAAGGCCTTTATCTTCTTGTGGACCAGAATCCAATAGTTCTCAAAAATGTCAGTCATCTTGGTGGTAAAGAATAAGTGTTTGCTGTCATCTCTCCCATGCAATAGGCTTTAAACAATGTCCTAGTCCAGGGGTCGGCAACCTTAAAGAGCCATTTGGACCCGTTTCCCAGAGGGAAAAAAACATTGCGAGCCGCAAAACTTGCACGTGCGTGAGGGGTGGGAGCTTGATTGAAGAGTTCAATTAAAAAGAAATAGAGGCTGCTGTGCATGAGTTCTCTCTCCCTCCCTCCCTCCCTCCCTCTCTCTCCCTCTCTTTGTCTCCCTCACTCTCTCTCTCCCCCCTCTCTCTCCCTCTCTCCAATCTTCTACTCACCTGGCAAGCTGGCTTCACGCTGTTCTCCGACAAGCTGACACACATTCTTATTGGGCTGGCTCTCTCCTGCCCTTGGTCTGCCAGTCCTCTTCCCCCACTCAGTGTGTGTGTGTGTGTGTGTGTGTGTGTGTGTGTGTGTGTGTGTGTGTGTGAGAGAGAGAGAGAGAGAGAGAGAGAGAGAGAGAGAGAGAGAGAGAGAGAGAGAGATACACTGCTTTCTGCTGCTTCCTGCTTCCTGCTGAGATGCAGCAAGGCAGGAGCCCTGCCCAGTAAGCTTGTCAGCTTGTCCGAGAATAGTGTGAGGCCACTCTCTTTTTTACACATGCACACAGAGAGAGAGAGAGAGAGAAAAGAGAAGAGAAGAGAAGAGAAGAGAAGAGAAGAGAAACGCAAGTGCCTCTCTCTGTCTCTGTCTCGCTCGCTCTCTGCAAATGGTGGAGGAGGCTGGGAGCCACAGGAGAAGACTTAAAGAGCCACATGCGGCTCCGGAGCCATGGGTTGCTGACCCGTGTTCTAGTCCATATCTGATCAAATCCATTCAGATTCTTCTGCCAACATTGCTTTATTTGTCTCATTTCATTTTCTCATTGCTCCTTTAGTCAAACAAGCATTCCTTTCTACTCTTAGAGTAGACTTACTAGGTCATTTCTCAATTTCCAAGGTTAGCAAACACTTTGAAAGAATTACTTGTCAAAGTGATGATGAAACGCTTTCACAAAATTATTTAAATTCATCAGCTTTCAGAACTGGATAAGCTTTTCTTAATTTTCTAAAACTACATTGCATGGCAGTTTATAAGACTACAACAAAACATACAGCAAAACTGAAAATGCAATAACTATTCAGTAGACAAAATTATGATAGCCCAATACTGATCTTTGACTGCAATAAATTGAAATTCAGTTGAACTGAATTGAATTGATACCCCAGACACCTTTAGCCATTCAAAATAAGTAAATGGTGGGAGTCTTCTTAAAAAAATTCTAGCTGAACCAATTAGGACTTTAAAAGTAATAACCAAGACTTTAATTGGATTTAGGAATAAATTGAATAAATATGGTAGATTGGGGACATTACCAAACATTTCATAGCAGATGGAACAAATGTAGCTTTCAAGTCTATTTCACAAATATAACACTGAACAATTTATCCACACAATGAGCATGAGAGTTACTGTGAGGGTTGCCCAATCCAAAATACTGTAGCAGTAGCACTTAGATTTATATATTGTTCCATAGTGCTTTACAACAATCTCCAAGCAGTTTATAATGTGATCATATTGCCCCCAACAATCTGGGTCCTCATTTTACTGTCCTCAGAAATAGAAGGCTGAGTCAACCTTGAGCTGGTCAGGATGGCTGTAGGCAGAATTAGCTCTTCAGTACTGCATTCTAACCACTGCGCCACCAAAGGCCCACAAATGTCACTCAGCTTTAGCATATACAGTAGCTTCTAACTATTGAAACTGTGTTTATTTTGATCCATCTAGTCCAGGGATGTCAAACTGCCAGCCCGCAGGCCGGACGCGTCATGAGGAAACCGTGCCCACCCCATTGCCGGCAATGGGGAAAAAGCTCCGATACATTGCGCGATGTCGCATTACGTCGGAAGTTTGACATGTCTGATCTAGTCCATCAAAGCTTTTAACAGCATCTTCTCTCCAGCCTAAGTTGGCAAAGCATGATTGCCATTAACATATTGATAGTGCCTTATGTCAAGGTAATGATTTAGAAGCTAACCAGCTTGTATAATGTGAGATGAATGATGCAATGTCAGCAGGAGTCTGTATCCCTTTAAGAGCTTGAGTATAAAAAGGAAGGCCTTGCTGGAGTCTTTCTCTCTCTCTCGTCTGTTTCCTGCTGTAATTGCTGTATGTTTACTGTATTACCACATGTATGTATTTTGTTCCTAGTGTATATTTGTAGATAGTGTAATATAAACCACCATTTAATACAAACCACTGTTTACTGTATTTACTCCTGGGTTACCTCAACACAATTAGACTTTGCATGCTCTGACACCTTACTCCAGCCAACAGATAACTTCCTTAATGACTGCCTATACATATTGAAATAACATGACACTTATCCTGACATTCATATTTTCTCCAAACCCGCATTATTTATTCTAGAATTTTCTACACTGCCATTGTAAATTCATTGGCATCCTTCAGTCTCGAGAGACTATGGTAGATTGTAAATTAAGAAGTTAATTAATAGTTTGACTCCTCAAAATATTTGAAATATTTTGCATCATAATCCATTGCATCATAATAAAAATATGTATCTGTACTCTAGTGCAGGGACCAGCAAACTACAGATTGCAGATTGCCAGGCCTAAGCTTCGGCTGATTTCTCGGGGTGAAAGACAGGGCCAAGTGACCAGGCATCCTGGGCAGCAGCAGTCATGTATCAGCAGCCTCCTTGCTGGCTGGTGGGCTGGTGCCATTCAGTTTATGCCAGATTCTTTGGCTAAAATAATGCCAACTGTGCCCATGGAGATGGAAGATGGGTGGGATCCAGCTCTTTACAGAAATGTTGGCTGACTCCTGTTCTGCTGACTTGATTATTGAAGATTTTTATTACTGAAATCTTATTTAAGGTTACTTTCACTGCTGAGATAAAATAAAGGCCATCCTCTCTAGATTGTAAGTACTCTTACTCCAAAATTAAATTTAGTAATGAAGAATAAAAGAAAAAAACTTAAGAAAAAATTATTATGGATATTGGTATAATTTCTAATAACAAATACAATGCATTATAAATTTTATTTTATGCCAATGAGGATTCTCAGTCATCTAGGTAGAGTTGTCTAATAGTTGAGTCATGGCAGCTGCCTTTTTTATTTATTTATTTATTTATTTTTGAATCCTTTGTCTGCTTATCCAAGTAGTTACTTCAGTTTGAACAAGTTGGTTAGGGGACCCCATGTATGTCCTTCAGATTTCTCACTGAATTTGAATAGGCTCATTAGGTGAGCAGGCAGAGAGTCATTAAGGGTCCTTGCTCCTAAATCCTTCTCTTAGATGGCTCCTTAAGTGTGATCTTCCTGGTGAATCTGTAAGTGGTCTTGATCTCCAACATTGACAGGACAAGTCACTGGAATATAAATTGAGAGCAAACTCCACTCCTAGGTGATGTTACCTAGTTTGGGTAATGAAACATCTACAAGAAAACAACTAAGCTCAAACAGCACCAGAGCAGGTTGTTGTCTCAAAGAGGAGTTTGGATTTAGCATAAATGGATTCCTTCACTCCTCTCCCAAAGAGGAGTTTGCGAGAGGAGTGAAGGAATCCGTTTATGCCAAAATGAAAAATCCTTCCTCAATAGAGGTGAAGGTCTTAGACACAGTTTTTATGCTTCTCTTTCATCAGTCCCCATGAAGATCAAGACCACTTCACAGGTTCATGATTGATATCACATTTAATGGCTCATCTAAGAGAAGAATTTAGGAACAACGAACCTTAAGGACTCTCTGCCTACTCACCTAAAGAGCCTATTCAGATTAGATGAAAGGAAACCATCCTTGAGGACATATGAGGTCCCCCTTACCAACTTGCTCAGATTGAAGAAGCTACTTGGATAAGCAATGAAACATTTCAAACAAAAAAAAAAAGAACAATGAAGTCCAGTTGCCGTGACTCAACTTCCAGAGAATAGAATAGAATAGAATAGAATAGAATAGAATAGAATAGAATAGAATAGAATAGAATAGAAGGGACTTTGGAGGTCTTCTAGTCCAGCCCCCTGCTCAAGCAAGAGAACCTATGCCATTTCAGACAAGTGACTGTCTTGTCTCTTCTTAAAAACCTCCAGTGATGGAGCGCCCACAATTTCTGAAGGCAAGCTGTT